TGTTGTACATAGGGTCGTTATGAATTGGAGATGACTTGATGACACATAACAACAACAACAACAGGCTGTTGGCACTAGAAAGATGGTGTTCTCATGCCAAATGAAGTGCTAGTCATGTTAGTCCAATGCTTGCTGGATGAAGTGCATGTACAATGTGGATAAGATCATTTTAAATCATTTAGATGAATGGGTTTCTTACCTCTTAGCAGGGAGGAAAGAAAGAACATTATTTCATTCTAGCCAATAAATAAGAACATGAAAGGAAAGGAGGAAGAGATTACACAAATATCTACCATGAACCATGAACTGTGCTTGCAATGAGAGGTATAAAGATGAAAAATGCAGAGTGTTTACTGTTGAGGAACTTGTAGTTTATGCCAGAGAGAGATAAATTAACTGATAAATCAATTACCATTGAGTCAGTGCTGACTCATGGTGACCCCATGTATGTCAGAGTAGAGCTGTGTTCCATAGGTTTTCTAATGGCTGATTTTCAAAGTAGTTCAACAGGCCTTTCTTCCAAGGAGTCTCTGGGTGACTCTGGATGGACTCAAACTTCCAAACTTGCAGTTAGCAGCTGAGTACATCAAATGTTTGTACAACCAGGGACTTCATCTTAACTAATAATTGAAAATAGTATGGAGAATGAATGGAGGTAAGTCTGTCCCAAGTACTAGGAGCTCTGGTAGCATAGTGCCTAAGGCACTTGACTGCTAACCAGAAGTCTGGCAGTTCAAACCCACCAGCCATTCCTCAGAAGGAAGGTTGGGCAATCTACGTGCCTCAGAAATCCAAGCAAGGGTTGCTATGAGTCAGGTCCGACTTGACGGTGCATAACAACAAAGTACTATGGAGTACAGAGAGGAGGAGCCTTTAGGGGTTCAGAAAGGACTTTCTGGAGGAGGGGCTACGGAAGAAAGGTGGGGAGGACAAGATAAGAAAATAGCAAATGAATAAAGGAATGGTGGTATAAAACAGCCTGCTGTGTGGGGGGAACCACAATCACAAGACT